GTTTGACTTCTAAAAACTGCTATTTGAGGAACTGATTTGAGTTTCACAGAAATTCATAACGTAAATTTTGGCTTAGGATTAGGACAATATTTTAAACAATTTCTAGAACAATGCTAAATACAAGTTTGCCATTTTGTACTGTATATTTATGTGAAACAGTGTTCTCAGCATTGATGGCTAGAAAAATCAAAGTATCGATCAATTCTGAAAAACATTGACAATATCTTATATCCTGTAGTATTGGATATTCAGGCAAGACTTAAACCTTTATGTAAAAATAAACAAAGCACATTCATCTCCTTAGTATATAGAAATCAGTCATTTTCAGCAATTATATGTATTCCAAAGAAGTGTGTTCAGATAAAGTTCTTTATGATTATTCTCAGCAAATGTTGATTTATACTGTCTTCTCTCCCTCTCTCCCTCCCTTCTTCTCTCCCTCTTTCTCTTTTATACGTAAAGTGTTTCTTTAGTTGCCAACTACTCTGACACTCTCAGACTCCCTTCTTTGCATCTTGAATCTACATGACTATAGTTTTTTTTTTTTGCTGGCATCTCAATAGCAACATTGTATAATATATGGATGACTGCCTCCATCCCCTTTTCTGGAACATTCTTTCCAGATGCTGCTTTATTTGGTTGCTTCCTATTTTCTGAAGTGGCCACACTTTTCAAATTGTTTCTAGAACTTAACAAGTATTAACCATGAGAAAGTTCCACCGTTCCTAGGACTGGAAATCAAAATATCACTGGAAAGAAAAGAAAGCATAAATAATGTTTACTTTTTATGTTACCCTAAGTGCTTCTAGGTTCTTTTTTGAACTTTTGGTTCACTGTGTAAAAACACCTGGATTCCAGTTACTGTAACTGTAATTGTTCTCCAATTTCATGAAGAGCAGAATCTCATTGTTTTGACCAGTCTGGCCTCAAACTCATGATCCTCCTGCCCATCCTCTCTAGTGCTGGGATTATAGACATGTAACCCCACTTCTGGCTCATTCTGTGACTTTTACTCTTTCTGAGAAGCATTGTGCAAAGAATGACCAAACTAGTCTGCCTCTAATCACAAATTAATATCAGACTAAAATTCAGAGTGTTGGGGGAGAGACTGGTGAAGCAGCAGGCTGCCTCTCTAAGGACTCAGCAGAAGAGCAACCTTCTACAAAACAGTGTGTGATGTGTTCTGTCTCCACTTCTTTTGTTCCCATAGCGACAATGAAACTGCTAATGACCTCCACAATGACCATAAGATTGTCAATCATCTCGTTCTCACTTGGCTTTTATTTATTTATTTGTTGTGCTTCGAATAATTTTAAAATAGTTTCAGTATTTGAAGACTTTTCCTTCCCTCCACCCTCTCTTCACTTGACTTCCCAGAAGCTCTGCTCCGGTTGTCTTATTGTACATCACTGGCACTTCTTCCTCCAACTCCTCTCCTTCATCACTAAAATTGAAGCAGCTCTCCTCTGTTGACAACCCACCATCGGTGCAATGACATTTCCAAATTGTCATCTCCAACTCAGATCTCCCCCCTAGAATTATATGCCAAGTAGCCTCTTCCTGTTACATGTTATTCCAGCTACTTTTGTATCACTGTAACCAAAATACCTGAGAAAAGTTAAAAGAAGGGATTATTTATTTGGGCCGATGGTTTCAGAGATGGCAGTTCACCCTGGCAGGGCGAACATGATGTCAGCACACATCATGGCATCCAGGAAACAGAAAGGGACATACAGAGCAAGATACAGCCTAAACTCTCAATGCTGGTTGCCTTTCTTCTCCCACCAACTCTATCCCTACCATGAAGGCTGTCTCATCATTAAGTGTTTAGCTCAGAGACCTCAGATATAACTGAAAATGCCCTCACAGACATACCCAGAAGAGAGGGGCTGAGGATATGGCTCTGTGGTTGAGGGTTTGCTGTTCAGTTTTTAGGACCTGGCATTCATAGGGGCCAAGTAGTGCTGTATCCTGTTAGACAAACATTCTCTTGTCATAAGCAAAGCCTTTAAAAGAGATGTGTCAGTAAAATAGAAACAGGGTCTAGTCTGATAGCCTGTCTGCTGTGGCACAAACAGCATTCTGATTAAGTGGCATTCATATATCAGCAGAAAGGGAAGCTTAAGCCCAGCCCTATTTTTGTAAAGTTACAGGCCCTTGTAGTACCTGTACAACAAACAATAGATTTAAAATCTGCTCCAACATTGTCCTTAGAGAAATCCCATCAAATAAAGGAAGGAGAGCAGAATTCACCCAACAATGTTTGGAATACACATGGTGCTAGTGCATAGAAACTACCTAGATGGACTGCTATGATCCCTCAGCCAGTTGTCACCCTATCCAGGTAACAGGTGAGTCTAGATTGGAACAAAGCTCTGTGAACTTTCTGGTTGGTTGTTATAAATGATACACACATACAAACTCTTAGTACTGTTTCTTGGAAAATCAGGAAGAGTAACTTATTGGGAAATAATACATTGATAAATTGAAGGCCATTACAAGGGAGGAACTATGGGCAGATATTTGAGAGTGATTACAAATGAAACTGAAGTCACAAGCATTCCATTAGAAGCCAGCAACAACCATTCTCTGTGAATATCCTAGCCCATATTAGGTACTAGTGGTCACACCTGAAAAAGCATGTGGCATGGAGAAAGGGAAGTAAAATAGTGCCCTGTCTGTTGCCAAGCTCATCCTCAGCGAGGGCCAGGAGCTACCAGAAACAGGGAGCAATCAATACCTGGGAACATATTTTATGAGTCAATCCCTAAGTGTAAGGGATAAGAGATGCACTCACATGTGTGGACATGGGAAATGACATCTTAATTTTTCCTGATGAAAGTAAGTCTGGTTTAAATTATGCAGTATCTTCAAAACTTGCAACCACTGCATAGAACCCCAGGAATCATTACCAGTGATCAAGGAAGACATTTCTAAAGCTTCCTAATTCAAGCTGGACATAAAAGGAGGCCATTACATGGCTGTTTCATCCACCTTTTCACCCACAGGGAATAAGACTTAAAGAGAGGAAAATGTGCTCTTAAAGGAACAAATGCAGCCATTGATGGAACTTTCCTCATTGAGAGCAGGCTGTGGTTTTAATGGAAACTATGTTTTTAAATGAGGCCCCAACCCTGAGAGGTAAGCTGCTTTATTGATATTTGGTGCATGTGGAGAGTCCAGTGCATGCTGGGTGGTATGGAAGAAATTAGATATAGCTTCGAACCTGGAAATGACTTCTACATATAATGTCCTCATTTTGCATTCCCTCATCTATAATGTCTGCACAGGGAATTGTGTAATAGGATCTGGGAAAATGGTGCCAGAAGTATGGTTTGGAATCCATGTTCTGAGGCAGAGGGTCATCATCTCCTTAAACATGACATGTTCCTTATTGATGAAGTACCCAGGAAAACTCATGGCACTACAGTAGTATGACCAGAATGCATGTTACCCTGGTCTATCACTGTGGAGCCTGTAGATCCTCCAACTCTACAACAAAAAGCCTGGCATACCCCTCCTGGAATGACTTACAGGGTCTCTAACATTACAAAGCAGGAACATCCACTACCAGTTGTGTTATGTAGATAAGGGTAGGAGATTCCTCTGTGTCTCTTCAATAAATTTTGTGTTTTCACTGTTAACCTGAGCTGCCTTCTCTTTCATGGCTCTGTCTCCTCACTACCACTTGGATGTCCTCAAAGAACATGTTTCATAGTCCACATGCAAAATTTATTCAATAGTAGGTGTGTGACCTTATGCCTTAGAATGGCTAAGAAAGAACTCCTTGGTGGACTGAGCCACTGCTTGGTAACAAATGGATCTCTGTGTAAACAATAGTGCTCATAAGGACATTGAACATGGACAGTAACTGATGTGTGACAACAATAACCTTGGACACATTAAGTTTTTCTGAAAACATGTCCCACTATTCCTAGACAGGGAGACAATGACAGACCAATACAAGGATTCCACAGAAGACCAACTTAGTGAACCAATGCATTTTATTGGTGTTACTGGAATATAGATAAAGAGTTGGTTACAGGAGCAGAAATAAGTCATAGACAGCTGCATTACCCAAATCCTACCCCAGCATGGGTGATAGCTCAGGAAGGCTGGTACTCAGGAAGGCTAGTTCTAGGGCTCGTTGCATGACTTGCAGGCAGCACACCAGGCAGCTCAGTTTGAGCCTCTTCCAAATAACTCAGCTAGCTTTGGAGAATCTTAGCAGTCTCTATTGCTTGTAGAAGTTTGGCGAGGGAGAGAACTAGAGAGTGTGTGGTCTGTTGCCACTCAAGGGAGTAGTTGCTCTGTTTGCAGATGGAAGAGGCAGATGGGTTCCCACTGATTCCTAGAGACCATCAAGATACAACTTTTTGTAAGTATTAATTTGATTGCTGACTTAATTTGACTGAGAGTCTGATCAAGGGGGTTAATAAATCATATCTCTGGGTGTGCCTGTGAGGGTGTTTCTGGAGATATATGGACCCTGGCCTAACCATACTCAAAATTTGAATGACTTTGGGGAGGTAGGGCCTTGATAAAGGAAGTGGATCACTGGGGACATGACTTTGATGGGTATGTCTTGACCTGGCCCTATCTTGCTACTCACTGTTTCCTGGCCACCATCAGGTGAGCAGACTTTCCTGCATACACCTGCTGCCATGAAACTCTGCCTTACTTCAAGCACAAAGTGATGAAACCAGTTGGTCATGGACCAGGACTCTGAAATTGGGAGCCAAAATACATCTCTCCTTCTTTAAGTTATGTCTCAAAGAGTTGGTCATGGTGATGAAAAGCTCACTAAAACTTTGCTGCACATGTGATTCTGTTCTTGTCTGATAGTTGTCTGTGCCTATCAGTTGGTTCTGAGTCAATGAATAGTACTTTGAGCTTTTTTTTATTTCTCCTTACTGAAAGAGCTATATGTTGCTAGATCTTTCCTTCTTCTTCTTCTTCTTCTTCTTTTTTTTTTTTTTTTTTTGGTGCCATTTTCATTTAATGAGCCAGTAGTATAGTGACTTAGGCTGTGATCACGCCTGGATGTTTACTGAACGGTGCAAGGACACACGACTGTCAGCTGGTATCCTCCAGTCCACCACGCCGGAGCAGCTGCAGCCTCAACTCCCACAAAGACTTAAGGCTGAGGGGTATAACGGAGGTATTTCTTGCCAGATGGGAGCTCTTTGGTGAAGACTCCTGTGGGGAAAAGCTGTTTGGCTTCCTCTTCAGGGATGGTGGGAAGGACCATGACGCTGTCGCCTTCCTTCCAGTCAACTGGGGTAGCGACCCACTCCATTGCTGTCAGCTCGAGAGACTTAATTACTCTGAGAATCTCATCAAAATTCCTGCCGGTGGTGGCCAGGTAGAGGATAGACAGCTTCAGTTTCTTGTCAGGCCCGAAAATGAACACCACACGGGCCGTCACAGGCATGCCCTTCTCATCCTTCTCTGCTGGATCCAACATGCCCAAAAGGATGGCAAGGTCCCTCTCCTTGTCATTGATGATGGGAAATGGTAACTTTTCTGTGGGTTCATCACCATTGTAAGCATTGATGTCCTTGCTCCAGGCAAGATGGTCCTCAACACTGTCTATCGAAAGAGCAATCAACTTAACATTCCTCTTGGCAAACTCGGGTGCCAGTTTCGCAGCTCTGCCAAGCTCTGTGGTACACACTGGGGTCAAGTCCCGTGGGTGGGAAAAGAGAATGCACCATGAGTCTCCCAGGAAATCGTGGAAGCGGATGCGGCCAATGGTGGTATTGGCCTCAAAGTTGGGGGCTTCGTCCCCGAGAAGCAGCCCTCCGGGCATGGCGGCAGCGGTGACGCGGGGAAGCAGGAGGCACAGCCGCAGCAGCGAGCAGACTCCTTGTTTTTGTGAACTTATGATAAAGTGTTTTGCTCTATGCATGAGTGTAATTATTTTCCCTTACTTTGCACATTAACATGGAACTTTAGATATATTATTTAGGGGCTTGATTTATTCGCCAGACTTTATTAAATTCCAGCTTTAATGTTAAATTAATGTTAACTTAATCTTAAGACACGATGAAAAAGCTGCAAGCATATGGTAGCTTTGTTGGTAATAAACTTGCTCTAAAGCTGCTCATTGTCTCTCAGCAGTCTGTCTTTGTTCAAATTCTTTGCAGCTTTTCTCCTGGGCAGGGACTGCTTAGCTCCAGAATGTGGCTCCCCTTTACTCTGCTTGACAATGGAGCAGGGTGTTTGGGCTTTAGGGGAGCCCAAAGTGATGTATTCCCTCAAGGTGCAATAAAACACTCAAGGCATTACCTCTGCTGCGGATATGTGGATGGGATAGCAGGAGATTGTGGATCTGAAAAATTCTAAAGCACTTCCACACCCATGTCAGACAGTTGTCCATCTCACACCCCAAGTCTAATGTGAGAACCTGTAGTAAGGAAAAAATGTCAGTCCTGTCTTCCCGCTCACCTATGACAGATGTACGACTGACAGAATGGACTGTCTGATGTCTATCTGTCGGCAGAACCAGGGCAAGGTAGTGATGGATGCAGGAGTTATTCAGCTCTGTAAGCTCACTGCTTTACATGCCCCCAGGAGGAGCCACTGATTAGGGATTTTATGTGCAGTCTCCTGATTAGAAACTATTGGCAAATGATTCATTGTTTCTAAAGATCACTGTTGGACTGTGACAACTCTGGTTGGCTCTATTTTTCCGTTGTTCCTTCTTCATTGTCCCTTGCCCATCTTCAGTGTGGGTTGGGCTGTGCCTCAGGCTGAAACTGGCCCTTGTGAGGAGCCTGCTGTCCTTAGCCTCACTCCTCTGTGACCTCAGTCCCTCTGCAGTCCTTCTGAGGGCTGCTTGGCAGTCACTTTGCTCCTTTTGCTTAAGTTTGTTCTCTAAGAACACTTCACTCCCTCCAAGTAATCGAGGGATAATTATAGCCATCATGATGCCACCTCCAAGGACTGGGGTGAAAATTAATGAAGTACTTCTCACATGCTCTCAAGCACCTTCAGGAGAACTTGTTACTTTCTCACAGAATGTTATTCATCCCCTACCAGGTGGAAATTAGAGAACGAACCGGAGTGATGCTTCTGCAAGAGTGGTAAGGAGACAGTTTGCATCACAATCACTCCTACAGTGGGTTGGTGCCCTTGTTAGAATGTGCATTCCTGGGGTCCTCCTCACTACTAATCAACTCCCAGGTCCATGAGGGCTTGAGACCCTGTGTGTTTAAGAAACACAGCCACACCTCACAGGGAATGCTAATGATCCATGGAGTTTGAGAAGGACACCTGTGTTTTCAGAGGAATGTGATGGAGAAACACACTGGGTGAAAGTGAGAGATTGAGGACAAATGCCACAGGCACCAGCAGGGAAAATAGATTTGATAGTGACAGGAAAGGAAAGAGGTGGGGTTCATTCTCGCTGGTGCAGAAGAGAGGTGTGTGGTCAGTGTTTTAAAGGATGAACAGAAGAAAGACAGGGCTCAACAGGGATGAGGACTTAGCAAAGGCTGGAAGTAGGAAAGGCCAACCCAATGAGGCCAGTGTGTTGGATTCCCAGAGGGGACCCAGAGGCCTTCCCCTTGCTGAGGGTTGTGTTTCAAAGACTTGGCTCTTGGGTCCCTGAGAAAGCCCTTCTGACTGACAAGAGATGCACATTGATAACAGTAAGTTCCGTAAGGGAGGAAGGTTGCAAGACGCCAGAAGTGTCTGGAACAAAAGGTTTTCTGGGAGCACCGAGCAGAGCTGTTTTAGAAGAGATACAAATGGCCAATAAATACAAGAAGAAATGCCCAGCGCTTCCAGCAATCATAGATATGCAAATGAACGTCACTCTGAGATTCCATCCTACCCCACTCATACTGGCTCTCAAGAAACAACAGGGCCTGGAGAGATGGTTCAGTGTTTAAGAGCACTTGTTGCTCTTGCAGAGGACCTGTGCTTTATTCTCAACACCCACATGGTGTTCATAACCATCAGTAACTCCAGTTCCAGGATCTGATACCTTCTTGTGGTGCCCTCTGTGAGTACCAGGCACGCACATGGTGTAATTGCATAGTTGCAGGCAGAGCACTCATATGCACAGAATAAAAAAAATCATAAAAAACGAAATCAAAAAACAATTGCTGGTGAGGATGGAAGGTGGGGGAATGGAAACAGTGCAGTCACCATGGAAATTATTCAGCAGGTTCCTCAAATGTTCCCTGGGTAATATTAGCTGAAAGAATCAAAGTTAGTATACCAAAGGAGCACCTACACACCATGTTTCTTACAATACAATTTACAATAGGCAAAGACATAGACTTAGCGTATGTGCCCATTGATGGATGAATAGATACAGAAAATATCCATTCTTATATGAATACAGTTTGTTTTGTGTAAGTGTTCATGCACACACACACACACATGTGCACATGAGTTTAGATGTACCCCATGAATTCAGGAGCCATCAGAGGCCAGAAGAGGATGTCAGATCCCCTGTAACCAGATTTATCATCTTGTGGGTCCTGGGAACTGATTCCAGGTCCTTTGCTAAGCCATCACTCCAGTCCCTTGGTTTTAAAAAATGATTTATTTTATTTATTTTAATTTATTCATGCATCCGTGGAGCAGGAGGGTGTGTGTGTGCAGTGCCCACAGAGGGCATTAAGAGGCCTTCAGATCCCCTGGAGCTGGAGGTAAGGCCTCATGTTGGTGCTGGGACCTGAACTCAGACCTCTTCTGCTGAGCCCTATCTACAGCTCCTGGGAATCATTGTTAAGCACAACAACTGCTGCTTATTTTTTCTCATCAGTGGAAGCAGAGGGAAAAAAAGAAGACATGAAACCAAAAGGGAAACACTAAGCTTAGAGGTAAATGGGAAATTGAAGAGGGAGAAGAAAGAGTAACAGAAGGGTAACACACTCACACTACTGTATGTGCATACACAGAGATGTCATAATGAAACCACTTTGCACACTCAATATATACTAGTTTAAAAAGAAAAAAAAAAACACTGGTGTGATGGGATAGTCACAGTAGGGACATAGCTTGTTCCTTAGAAGCCACACTAAGGTTTATTCAACGCTCTTAATGCAGGGGTATAGTGTGTAATGTCCTCAGAATTATGCAGTTCTAAGGGACATGCCATTCACTTTATTTGATCCTATTAAAATTGCTTATTAGGCTTTGGAATTATTTAATTCAGAATGCTGTAGATTTTGAGTGATGAGCAGAGGCAGGGTAGACAGCTGGCTAGATTCAAATTAAGTTAGTGAGACTGGCAGAAAGTCCTCCTTTTTGTGTGAGCCTCAGTTTACCCCATACAGTTCAGAGACAATGGGCTAGGGATGACTCTCCTATCAAACCCTAATGTCACAAGAGTGTACACAGATAACTATGGAGAGGGGGACTATGGGTTTGCCTAAAGCTACCTGAATGTGTCTGGAATCAAAGAGATACAAGCAAATGTTTCAAGAAAGTTCTTCTCTTGGAAGAATGGGCAGCCAAGAAAGATACATTGAAATGGCAGGAGACAAGAAGCAGGGCTCAAACCTGTCTCTACCCATCTTCTGCCATTATAACAGAATACACTTGAGTCTGAGGTATGCATAACAACAGGGGTTCATTTCTTCTCATGGTCCAGAGGTGATGAAACCAACCCAGGAGTGCAGCTTCAAGGGAGGACCTTGGGGCCAAAACAAGGTGGAAAGCCAGAGATCCTAAGTTAGGTAAAGGATGGGACTGAGACTTTGTTACCAGCCTACTCTGTGATGATGGCATCAATGTACTCATGAGAGTGGCACTGTCACACCATCTCTCAGCCCTTGCAATTTTCAGTCTCCCATTTCTGCCACAGCAACCATTACATTTCAGCTTGAATTTGGAAGGAAGAAAAAAAACCACTTCAGCTGCAATAGTCAGCCTCATCTAGACAGGACTGAACTGTCCTTGGGGAGAAGTACTGTGTGATCTTCATTACAGATGGCCAAGAAGAGAGAACAGAATGTACCTTTCAGGACAGAGGTGTAAGAGCCACCAAACACATGGGACTGGCTGCTTTAAGTTCCTTGGGCCCCACTGGGAATGTTTCTGAGGTTGTCTTGTCATGGGTTCACTGTGGCATATTGGCTCTATGAGTCAGAGGAGTCCTATAATTAATGAAGAAAGGCAGACCACTGCTGCCTGTTGGAGTCAGCTGGCCTTGGAGCCCAAAGCTGTGCACATCTATGCCACCTCCTCTGGGTAAAGGGGCAGGCAGGGGTAAGTTATGAGATAGAAAACAGACTACGTACATGTGCATGGCCAGAAGAAATAGACAGGTTTGGAGACTATGCTACTATTCACAAATGCCTGCCACCCCTTGACTGGGGAAGACTGCATGGACGTAAGTGAATGGCTCGAGGTATTTCAAAACAGCAGCAGAAAGCAGGGGCACATGGCTTGATGTATCTCCTGTCCTTTTGCCAGCACAATGCTGGCTAAGCTCCCAGTGCGGGAGTACCCCTGCAGCCTGAGCCAGAGACTGTGCCTCCCCAGACCTGAGACAGGACCTGAGACACAGATCTCTGGGGTCTATGTCACAGTTACAGACACTTCAGTAAAAGAGCAGAGAAGAAATATTTCAGCGCTTATGAGCCATGTAGTCATGGTCAACACTGCTTAGTCATGTGACTGCAATGGAAACAATAACATGTGACATAAAATTTGGAGGAATGTGTGTCCTGTCATGTTTCCAGCCGTGCAGATGCTACTGATCTGGGAACCTTGCCCCATGTCTCACTGCCCTGACCTCTCTGGATTGATATGGCACTTGGAAAACAGAGATACTGTTAGAACTTACTTTAGAGGGTTGTTGTCCTAACTAAGGGCAAGAATGTTATGACATTATTA